AGTTAGAAAACCTTTTTTTTAGGAATGTGCTATCAATACACCTTTTTCTTTTTTTTTATACAACTTTTAAATACCCTTTCCCACTATTCCAAGATGTAAATTTGCATGAATAGTTGAGCGAAGTAGGTATTCTTGTTAGGCATCAGATACCGTAAAGAAGGCAATAGGCATCAAAGGCATGCACACTCCACTTACTAGCGTCGATGAGGCTTTTTTTGTTTTTGTTTTTTTTGAAAAAAAAAATTAAAAAAATGAGATAACTGGTGGCAAATCACGGCTATCCACTTTTTTTAAAGGCCGAAAAAACTCACAAAAACATTTTAGTTTCTCTCTACCTACTTGCTAGTGTCGAGCCTAGCTAGGCTCAAAATCGCCACCCTCTTGCTGAAAAATGATTCAATTAATTTTAATTGTAGGCAAAAGAAGAAATAAATCTATTGGTAAATTAAATTTTTTAGGTCCACATGTAATATTATTTTGTTATATCTTAGACGCCTGTAAAAAAGTTGAATTAACTGTAGCAGTTAGATAGTTTAACTTTCACAAAAGACTAGATTAATAGTAAACCTCCCAACATAAATTGTATATTATTTTATTATATGCCCCACATATAAACTTTATTCTCTAATGTCTATCACCGTGACTATCTTAAGAGAGCGCAAGAGAAAGAAAAAGAAAAAGAATGTGTATATATAAGGCCGATTGAAGGAAAGAAACAAAAGAAAATTAGAGGTTACTGAAAGAGTTGTATAGCATATGAAGATAGGAATTAGAAAAATTACATGAAAAGGATAAAGAGATGATGGAAGTGGAAAAATATGTGCATGAAACGATGAGCATAAAGGCCATATGGGATTATGGGGCTCAAAACCGATGGAAAGGAAAAACCCCTTTAGAACTTGGAATTTTTGGATATTACAAAGAATATACGATGTCTTTACGACCCTATCATATTTCTTGCCATTCAATTCTTCCCTTGTTTTGTCTTTTGTTATCTTCCTTCCCATCCCATGACAACATCTAACCAACTTGCACTTATTGACATTACAGCTGCTTAATAATTAGGCTTCAGTTCTATGATTTGTGTGGATTATGTTCGGTGATATCTCGCCTTCTTTTTCTTTCTTTTTTTGTTAGTGGAGAAGAAAGAGATTTGATTTTAGAAACTTCGGTTGAGATCATCGTGACCGCTACTATCCAAGATTAGAGATTGCATAAGTATTTTGCTTAGCTATCAGCTCTGTTTAATTTAATCGGAGCAACAACTAGCAAAGAGAAAACAACATAATTAACTCAACTGGCATACCTCTCAATATCTCCCTAGTAACAACTTTTAAGCAACCAAGTTTAAGAAACTAAAGTTGAACAAAAGGGGACTTGCGCCATAACCATCCAGCAGTAAAGGTAAGTCTTCCATATAACTAAACTAATCTAAACTAAGGGGCTGGCCAAGATAACTTCTGCAATTCTTAACCTGCCTCTCATTGGCTGGTGTCCACCACGGAAATCGACCTGACATACTCCAACCAAACATATAAGACTTCATATCACTACATGATTGGGGTTTGGGCTTGGGGGTGCTTGGAGGGCTTGGGTGCGGGGCAATTAACCTGGAGATGGACATTTAGGGTGCGTTTATTGCATCGGATTATTTCAGACTATTAGTTTTAAAGACTAAACGGGATTAGCTTGGAATGGACTAAGGGCTAGTTTGGTATTGTTGTGCTTTGAAAAAAAACTGCTTCTGCTGTGCTGTGAGAATAAGCGGTTGTGAAATAAAACTGTAGAGTGTTTGGTAAACTTTTTTGTAAAAATGCTTTTGAAAAAAAAAAAAAGTAGTATTATAGTGTTTGGTAAACTTTTATGTAAAACAAATGTGAAAAAAAGCCGGTTTTTCAAAGCTGGGTTTTGCAGCTTCTTGTTTTTGGCTTTTTTTCATCCAAAACTGTGAAAAAAAGCTGAAGCTGAATGTTTACTAAACACAAAAAAGCTGAGCTTTTTTCAGAATCACCTCATTACCAAACCAGGCCTAAGTAGTATAAGAATAATGAAGCGTTTGATCCAGTGTCGGATTAAATTTCAAATTAAATTATTTCTAAAATTTAGATTTTTTTTTTTTGGTTTTTTTAGCTCTCTCCTATCTCTACCGTTCTCTCTCGTCGCACCAGAAAAAACTTCTCAAATTTTCTCGAATTCTCATAAACTAGACTAAACCAATTGTTCATCTATCTTCGCACCAGACAAAACTTCTCAATTTTTCTCCAATTCTTAGAAACCAGACTAAACCATGCCCAACGAAAAAAATCAAGGGGATGAGTAGTGCAAAGAAAAGAAGAATCGCAAGAGGGAATTGAGATTTCCTGTGGGCGCCGGTATTCGACGGCGACAGAGGATAAGTATTCGACAGAGGCACGATTTCTTCCCACTGGATGATCCATTGCTGCTTGACTTTCTCTCTTATCTATCTTCCCACTCTGAATTTTGAGACTTAGGTGGTGGGGGCTGCTTATGGCCGTACAGGCATGAGTGGGGATCGGAGTTGCAAACAACACGGTGTGGGGATCGAAGATGTACATGGCGCGCAGTCGTGCATGACAAAGACGAGGACATGGCGGAAAGACCGTATTAGCTACTCCCAAGGTATTTGGGGGGTCTCGCTAGGGCCGGCTCAGTAAGGTTTTAGTCAGAACGAGTGAATGTTAGTTCTACTAAAGTTAGCTCCTTGCGGGTAACAAATATGAGACTGGGCTAAACTTTAGTCTGTTGGAGAATAATTCAGAAATAAACAAAAATAACATAAATTCTAATATTTTATTAACCAAAATATACTTGCTATACAAAACGAAAATTACATAATAAATACAGAAATTAATGTTACTAACTTGATTACATAAGGTAGAGGCTAGCGTAAAAGCTATGTCCTTCGAACAATATTTTCATCCCACTCATGTGCTTGTGGTTCTATAACGTCTGCTCGACCAGGATTCAACTACCTAATTCTACAATCCGCACCAGATTCTAGAACTGTAGCGAATTTGCTTTTTGTGTGTTTACTCTCTAGAAAATTCGTACAGAAGGAAAGAGCAAGAAAAGATGATCCATTTGGAAACTGTGATTGCAGATATATAGGCCACCCTTTCAAATACACTGAGGGTACACAACTCTTTCTAAGAGCTGTGTCTTTGAATCAAAACGTTTTTAATTAATAAATTAATTAAAAACTTAATCCAAAAATTAAAATAAATGAATCAAATTAATTAATATTAATTGTATTTAGGCTATATTAATTAAGCCTAATCCACACAACCATAAGGCCTAAGCCTTCAATCCATTTCCAAACGGCCCATGTTGTAATTACTAGACTAAAGCATTAAATCTATATAAAGGCTCTTGGGAATCTTGTTTTCCCCAATGTGGGACAAGAGTCTCAAAACTTCCAACATAGTCTAGTTTAGTCCAGTGAGAGTTAGTGAGAAAAACAAATATTCTCTAAGGCCATCTCCAACTGAATGGTCCAGAGAGCCAAAGGACCGAAAATAGCCCGAAAACCTTCTCCAACCGAGGGCTTGGCCAGAGGGCTTTGGAATCTGAGAGGGCCCCACGGAATCGAAGAGGGCTGAAGGGCTTGAGGGCTGGCTGGCTGGCTATTATTTTTTTTAATGTTTTGTTATTTCTGTCGATTATAACCGACATAATTTCTTAAGAAAAAATTCAAATGCAACTGCTAGTAGCCATTGCATTTGTTTTTTTTTTTTTTTTACAGTTTTATTATTATTTTTTATTTACAAAATTTTTCATATAACTTCTATTTTTTCCTATAACTTCTATTTCACAAAATTTATTTCATTATTTTTTTAAATTCCATTTTTTTTTCCTATAACTTCTATTTCACAAAATTTGTTTCATATTTTTTTTAAATTCCATTTTTTTCCTATAACTTCTATTTCACAAAATTTGTTTCATATTTTTTTTAAATTCTATTTGTTTTGCTATAAATTCCTAAGCCATTATACAACATTAAATTAAATTATGTTTGGCTCTTTGGCCCTCGGTTAGAGACGGTTTTTTGTGAAATGGCTAAAACGAACCCTCTGGCCCTCTTGCCCTCGGTTGGAGAATGAGGCAAATATGGTCCTGTATTGTTCATTAAAATATTAATCTCTTGGAGAATCTTGGAGGGCCAGAGGGCTAAAACGAGCCCTCTGGCCAGCCATCGGTTGGAGATGGCCTAAGATCTCAGCACCAGCAGGTCTTTATCTGGATCTTTGGATCTTAGGTTGTCAAAGACGAATTTGAATCACATTAAAAGAAACATAAAAGAAAATCCTAATTAACTAGAGAAATGGAAACATAATCCTTATGGGACAAGAAAATATAAAATTAGTCAATACTTATAAACCCGAATATTCCGATGGTTGTAGCGATGGGATTTGGATCCTCTCCTGAGCTAATGGAGAGGATCTTCCTGACCAATCATCGTGGACCGTTGGATTTTTATCCAACAGCTATAATTATTATAACTTTAAAGGGATCCCCTATTTGTAACCGTTGGATTTTTATCCAACGGCCCACGATGATTGATCAAGAGATCCTCTCCATTAGCTCAGGAGAGGATCCAAATCCGTAGCGATGGTTGAACATGAATTTTCTTTCTTGCGTGGCCTCTTGCCAGCCGTCCATCGTTGTATTTTATGTAATTTTAGCCACTTTAATCGACCCCTATTTTGTCCTACATTAGCCTCTCCCACTTGTAAAAAAGTCGTCAAACAAGATTGAAAGCACGAAAACTTTAACATGATCCCTTTGAGCACTGGCATCTTGATACACACCAAGCCACAATCTCTGGAAAGCACGAAAACTTTAACATCATCCCTTTGAGCACTGGCATCTTGATACTCACACTTCAAAGTCGGCATAATTTTCTTCTTGCATTACAAGCTCGCATGAATGGTTAACCTTGAAACACACCAAGCTACACAATCTCTGGAACCCACCACAGATTGAAATAAAACTTAAAAAGTTTAATTGATATAATCTGAAATCTCAAAGTTACAGCAGAGAAGTAGACTTTATATATTCTAATAGATCTAATAAAGTACAAAAATCAACTTTTATTCCTCCACAACAATAAAAAACGCCAACACTTCCAATCTGAATCCCTTCTCTTCAGAATAGTACCTGAAACAAAATTTTCATATTTCACATCCAACAAGATTTTGAGTACAATACACCTACCTTCTTTTGAGAAAATAAAACTACAACAGCAATTTTGATTGTTGAATTAAATGCTCAATGAATCTTGGACAATAAATCACATCCGTGGTTTCAATAACAGTTTTCAACTTAGTTTTTCTGAGACACAAGCTATTAATGATAAACTTCAGAAAAGTGTAAATATGCACCGCAGTGGCTCGGTGTTGAACTTATCTGAATACCAAAAAAATGAAAATTTCAATCAAACAACTTATATTGAAGACAAAGTACCAACTGCAGCAGATCTATCAATAGAAATATCGCGTAAAAAACTACCAGAAAAATTTATCAAAGATATCATAGGTATTGAAACAACTGAATGCATGATTGTCAATATAAATGCTGAAAGAGAAAAAAATTTAAAGGAAACATCAGGAGCATAACATCATTTATTTTTATTTTTATATCAATCTACTAACAGGAGTCCAGGACTACCATTTCTCATCATGAAAGTAGAAGTAGTTATGAGTCTCTCACAAAGGCAGCATGCTATGGCAACTAGTCCTTGCCAACTGTTTTTGGTGTGTGGAATAACAAGGGACAATGGATATCAAAATTTAATGTGTACAAACAAACAAACATAATCATAAAACAGAAACACAAAAGACCAAATCACACATCACATATACAAGAAATTACTTATTAATCATGGGAAAAATATGAGAAATATGAAAGCAGACACAAAGGTGAGGACAAAAGGAAGAAGAATACATAAAATTAAGTTTAAAATCTACTATTCCCTTTTATTTTTTTACATTAAAACTTTACTTTTTTGTATTTTATTCTTCTTCTCTCCTCTTTCTATTACCATCTCCATCTTCCATTTCCTCTATCTGCTAATTAGAACAAAAGCACAAGCATAACTAACAAACAGGCTCCTAGAAACTGAATCCACTCAATCAAGGCATTAATAAGAATGCTTTGCCCTACATCTCTTTACTACCATCAAGAAGAGTCAAGTATACTAACCTCTCTCATCTCCTGGTTTTATCAAGAACCTCTATGTATCTCTTTGGGATTCCATATTGTTCAATCATATGCTTTGCCAGATCATCAATCACGCCACCTTGAACCAGAACCTCATGCCCTTTCTTACCTGAAAAGAGAAACATGTGTTCATAAGAAAACCAAGGAAGGAATCCTTGAAACATCACAACAAAATACTATTTCCAGACAACCAAAACTGGCAACAGGATTTATTACCGTTGGAGAAAGGTTATAAGAACTTTAAACAGTAAGCAGCAGTATTCATTCATTAAGACTAACGTTGCCAGGCTACTAGAAAATTTTGAGGGAAGAAGAGAAAAGAATACACATCACTAATATCAATTCAATTAACACAACAAAACGCTGCACCTGGTAGTTCAGACACCGTTGTGCTGCAAGCAAACTTCTTCTGTAGCTCTGATGCCAAAGCTTCAGGATCCACCAAAAAGGATTCCAGACCTGATAATTTGGTCACTTTCTTGTTACCTTGCCGCCTTTCTGTCATTATCTGTATTGTTTTCAGACCACCTTTACGAACAACCGACTCACTTCCCCTCGTCACAACGTGATGGGCTTGCATCCTGTTTACAAATGCTGCTCCTAAATCTCTCTTATGAATTTCTGTTGGGTACATTGCACCTTTTTTTATGGCTCCCTTGAATAGTGCATCACATAATATTGGATCCAACACCACAATGGATTTATCTAAGGGCTTAACCAGGTTTTCTTTTTCAACATATGTAAACACAATATCTGTGGCATCTGAAGCACTGTAAAGCTTTCCTGTGTCGGCCCCAACAGAAGCTAGTATGGGATTGACATGTACACTTGATTTATAGATCTCAGCCACTTCAAGCATTTTGAGTGACCGCCCTTCACTGACAGTAGCAACACCAGTTTGAACAGTTTTCTCCACTTCTCGTTTCTCAGGCTTAAAAGATGAGTAATCTGAATGCTTGCGGTTAACCGATAACAATACAGACTCCTTTTTGTATTTATCTTCTTTCACTGAAATCTGCATGTTTTGGAGCCAACATAGTGCAAACAAAGAGAATACAGATTAATCTCAGAAAACTGAACTGCTAAAAAGCACAGAGTACAGGAACACCAAAACTTAATCACTTGCTTGTTTTAAATTTCCTACAAAAAGGTTACATCTCTTTCCGAATGCACTAGAGTTTCTGTTTTTATTTTGGAAGCAAAACTTTTTTATTTTTTTTCACACACCAAGGGGCATATCGCCCACGTACGCACTGTATATAGCAATTGAAATAGAAACAGAACAAGACTAAGAGCAATCACCATACAATGCTGAAACCCAATAAAGAAAGACTATATAACCGATTTACTGAAATTCAAGTTTTCCTTTTATGCTAATTGTGTATTGATTTTGCCGAGAGCTCATAGAAACCTAGGATAAAAATATAAGTCTCTCTTCCACTTGATAATGGAAATTCCGATAAACAGAGCTGAAACAAATAATGCCAATGCTCAAAATCATTTTAACACATGTGAATAGATCTGAAAACATTTAAACTTACTGCTTCATCTATACCCTGAATACAATAATGCAACATCATTTATGCATCCTATTCAATACGATCACTCGTTCCACTTCATGGATCATACAGCACCTCTTAGAAGTTTAAAACTCGGTGGTTTGCATAACAAGCTCCCAAAAGTGACAAGGTTAAAACACACAAGGGTTCTCTTTCAAAAAGAAGAAAATGAAAGAATTACGCACCAAGCCTGTAGAAGATTTAGCTTGTAACCACTTTGATAATTTCTTGTATGATGATTTCTTGATGTCGAGTGTGATGCCTGAAGGCCTACAAGGTAGAACGTGGTTTGACCTGCAGAAAGCAGAAAGCAAATGAGGAAATTTCTATAAATAGGGCATTTGCCCCAGAGAGAGCATGGAGACCAAATATCATATAACATATTATACCACAGTGTGCTGCCAGGCATAGGAAGGTCTTTATCCTTAATAGTTGTATGCAATGCTTGCAAAAGGCATTTTTCCAGAAGCATATCCACATCCTCAGTGGAAAGAGGATGTTGATCCTCCCCATTAGACTGATCAGCAGAATGATTATCTGTTACCTTCAGATCACCTACATGTGCAGTTATTTCTTTAGCAATCTCGTCCCCAACCTCGATCTGTGCCTCTGAAGTGGAACTAGGTTCAGAGTGCACGTCCACATCAACAGGTTGTCCAATTTCTTTTTCATTACTTCCATTCTCTTGGTCATTTGAACCTTCAGTTGTGCTAGCATAAGATTCAGAAATTTGCGATGATGACAAGGTAGGATCCTCAAACACAACATCTTCATAAAAGCCTGCATTTGGAACATAAGGGCCCTCAACTGATTCCCTGGAAAGAAAGAAAAAAAATCTAAAAACATTACTTATAGAAAACTTTAATTATTGACCAATCATTTAGTCAGTAACCCCCAATACTTGCCAAAGTAAGTCACGATAATAGTGAGTAATCTTTAAAGCCTTTCCTCGCAACCCGGCTTTTAACGCTTCAGTGCTGCTCATAGTGGTAGTCCCCACCTGTAGTGGTTTTCAAAATAAGAAAGTCCCTATCTTTATTTGAATAAATAAATGAAGTGAAGGTTTGTCCGACAATCTATGAGGAAGCTTACAGCGATGGGAGCTGGGTTTCCTGGAACTTTTACTGCCCAGGTTTCTCCTGCTGTAAAAGAAGGTAGACCTTCAGCAGGTATGCTGATACCAGGGAACATCAAATCCGCCCCTCCAATGATATATCGGGAAACCTCACCCCCTTTCAGCATGAAAGAAGGCAAGAGCTCAGGGACCTTCCAGAGTGCATAAACTGAAACGGGAAACCATCAACCAAAAAATTGTGAATATCTTGCATAAAACCTGAGCATAGCGTATTTTTCATGATTGACCATTGTCTACCACAGACTCCTCCAATTTTTTATTAGTCCAATTACAAAGTTAAAAATCAAGGTCAGGGGTTTAAACTTTTGAGGTTCCTATATTCTTTAGAAGTCATTGCTAAACATACGGCAAATTTCTTTACTCCTATTATTCCAAACTGAATTAGGGGGCAAACTTCTCAGCTATTTTCTTTTATTTCCTTTATTAGTGTGCAGGTGTGGTGCATTCCGAAAAATCTTTGAGATACAAACCCACATAAGATTGATTCCCAATCAAGCATCAACACTTTGTTAAAAGTTAAAACTACGCAAAGATTCAATTATTGGAAACTTTACAATCATGGAAGACTTTTGAACGCTACAACTTAACATCCAACCTCAAAAACCATGAAAACAAGCCATCCTATTTCTAAAGAGAAATAAAATATAGTTCTTTGAATAACAAAAATTACACTTTCGAACTTCAATACAATAGTTTATTTAAGAATGTCAGAAATAGGTTTCACTAATGGAAATAGGGAACTCCAGTAGTAAATGCGACTGCACAAAAAGCAGTGACATCAAATTCATTTGCAACAAGTTTACCCAAATAAAACCTAAACTAAGCACGATGTAATGTCGGACAATTAAACTTTCAAAACTTACAACAAGAAAGAATATATGTTACATTAATTGATTTGTTTGATTACATCATGTATTGAGAATGATTACAAAATCAAATTAGTGTGTCTGCTACCCATGCTTGTCTCAAGAAGGAAATTATCAATTATACTGTAGATACTTCATTAGTGTCAAACTAACATCATATTCATTCGAGAGAGCGCTACGTAGTCAGGTGCGGTACATACTAGAAAGAAATATGAAAACCCAGAAACCAAACTGCAGTTTAAAGAAGGAATAATTGAAAAATGATACCTGTGGGAAAAATGTCTGTGCCGCGCCCATCAATATCAAAAAATATAGGAAAGCCCCCCTCCACCCCATATACATGAACACGATTTTGAAACTTTGAAACTGATATCTCCACCTAGAGAAATTTAATAAAAAATATTCAGTTGTCGGTAGCTAATAAGATTTTATCGTGAGTTGAAGCACTCGCTGCAAATGGCAATAACTAGTAGTAAGAAAGTCAGATTTCAATTGAGAATGACAATAACCAGTCCAATACGAATGACAATAAAAACAATCCGAAAAGAAGTCTAGAGTCTGCAAAACACATAGAAGAGCTAATCTCGGAATAATCTAAATCCGAATGAGAGTGATTTCGTTATCAATTAATAGAAACCACTGCAAGTATTGAAATTGGATCGAAATTAATCAACTGTACAGTCTACAACTCAAGGCAGCCGTAGCACACAAACATTAAACGGGTCATTTGTAAAATATAAATACCCAATTAATCGACAAACAAAATACAAAACCACCAATTTAAAGGGACCTTGGGAGGGAGTAAAGAATCGATATCGGAGTCGGAAGCTCGGGGAAATTTGTCTTTGAGATTCCTCTTGAGCTTCTTCCTGTCAGCCCCTGAGAGTCTTTGGTGTGACCTTGCTTCAACTGCCTTCTTGAACATCTTCCTTTCCTTCTCTCTGAATTCTTCAAAGAGTGGGCGGTTATTGTTTCTGTGTTTCACAATCGACTTTAGCAAACAGTAGCCAGTCCCCCAAAAGTAAGTTTGTTTATTGGGGAGTGGAAGGTACTGGAAATTTAGGGCGGTACATTGGCTTGCTATTAAATTATTAATCACCGCCCCAGCCCAATTCAGGGAAACCTATTTAACCTGTTTACGATTCTGTCAAAATGGTACGTGTGACGGACGGCACGTAACGCAGTGTGACGGAACGGGCTGATCCCACCTTTGGGGTGCGTTTGGTACGTGGGATGGAACGGGACGGAACGGAACGGGACGAGTCGTTCCGTCTCGCGTTTGGTGTGCCTAAACGAGTGGGACGAGGCGTTCCATAGGACAAGTTTTGGATGATTTTTGGTTCCACCTCCCCCCCGGATCAGATTCCACGTCCATGGGACAGAAATTTTTAACGTTTTAGGACAAAAATGCCCCTTGTCTTTTTCAAAATTTACAGCATCAAAATCATGTAACAAACCCTAAAAACTATTTCTCTTCTTCTCAGCCGCTGACACTCTTCGCAACCTTCCTCCTCATCTTCTTCGCATCTCCCCTTCGCAACTCTTCCGTGTAGCAGCTCTGCATCTCCCCTTCGCAACTCTTCCGTGTAGCAGCTCTGCGATCCTCTTCCGTGTAGCATCTTCAGATCTGCATCTCCGTTCCAGGTTCGATTTATTTTTGTGTACCTCTCGGTCTCTCTTTCTTTGTAAAAAAATTTCTTTGTAATTTGATGGCATTACAGTGAAAACCAATTGTTCAAATGTTTTTTATTTGTTCTTTGTTTACCCTATACGTAATACGGTAAGTTCTTTGTTTACCCAATTGTTCAGATCTGCATCTCCCTATCCGGCCGCCATTGAAGCTCTCTCTTTGTTCACCCTATACGTAATACGGTAAGTTCTCCTCAACATACCTCCATCCATCTTCGTAATACCATAGAGAAAATTGAATCTGATTTTTTTGTGCATAAATCTTTGAATTTCTCTTCCGATTCTCATATGTATATGCGTGTGTGTATGTGTATGTTTATATGTGTGTGTGTGTCTGATTCCTTGTGATGTTTGGATGGGCAGAGATGAAGGTTGTTGCTGCATACTTGCTCGCTGTTTTGGGAGGGAAGGCGAGCCCCTCAGCTAGCTGCTGACTTGAAGGACATTCTTGGATCAGGTAACTTTTATATTAAAAAAAATTCTTTGTTGCTTCAACGACGTGCGATTCAAGTTAAAATTGTTATTATTGTCATTGTATTGTTTGTGTTAAATTGGGATTTCCGTTTGTGGGCTTTTCTTGGTTTATTTAAATTTATGTTTGATGGATTTTTTCGGTTTGTTATACGGATGCTGATAATTAGTATATGTAGTCTTTTATATACAGGTTTCCTAGTCATGTTAGTCCTCTTAGCTTGAATTTGTTTTGAACTCTTAACCCCTACACCATTGGCAAGGGTTTGCATGTGGAACACAACATATACCTATTAAAATTTGGACCAAGAAAAACAAATAATGGATAATAGTGTTCAAATTTGAACCAAAAAAAAAAAAAAAAACTGTCCTGTTCCGTCCATGCGTTACCAAACGCAGAACGGAACATGGGTATTTTAGTCATTTTAATCTTTTGGTTCCATTCCGTCCATGCGCTACCAAACGCAGAACGGAACAACTGGCCTGTTCCGTCCTGCGCGTACCAAACACAACACAGAACATCCGTCCCGTCCCGTTTCGTCTCGTCCCGTCTGCGTACCAAACGCTACCTTGATGCACCAAAAATAATTCAACAAAACGAATTTTGAATAAATTTCAATTTCATCTCCGACTCATTTCACCCCGTGAAACACAATATAAAATTTTAAAACAAAAACACCCCTTATCTTTTACAATATTTACATCATCCAAATAATAAAACAAACCCTAAATCATCTTCTTTCCATCTCTGCCGCTGCCTTTTCCCGTAGCCGGAACCTCATCCACCCTCATCATCCTCATCCTTCCTCCTCATCCTCATCCTCTCCTCATCCTCTCCCGTAGCCTTGCTCCTCATCTTCTTTCCATCCCTCCCGTCTGCACCCATCCAGCAAGCAGCAGCACGGAGCCACTTCATTGTGTGCGACTACGATTGACCCAGGTATCTATCTTTTCTTAATTCTTTATTTTTCTTCTTTCTAAGGTCAGAATCAGGCTTTAATGCCTTAATTTGAAGATTTTGGTATTGTAATTAGATTCAATTTGGAAAATTAAATTAGAAATTGGGGGTTTTAGTGTTAAATCGAATTTTAGGGTTAGGAATTAGGAGCATATATTTCAGCGTGATTCCTCTGTAAATACGAGCAGTCTCATCTTCTACTCACAGAGGTCTATATGCTATATTTTCTCCTCTGTAGAATACTATCTTGTTTGTTGGCAGACCTTCCTTTATTTGTTTTTCCATTGCCTTCGTTTTTGTTTTTTTATTCTTCTAGCTATTTGCTGCATCATGGTGTATGATTACCAGTACTTTCTCGAAACTTGTAGAAGAAAAATTCAAGCATACAAAGCGTTAAGTAAAAAAGGAAAACCATAATACGCATTTGCCATTTGACAATAGTCAAGAAACATGAATATCAAATTGATCATTCATTAATAATAGTCCAAGTCCAAAGTTTTCGTAAACTTACGATTAGCAAAGTCCAACTGTCCAATGTTCTTACAATGCAAACCCTTATGTTCAACTTTTTTTCACAAGAAAGAATCTTTTATTAACAACTGAAAGATTTATGAAAGTTGGATATGATATCCGCCAACTAAAAACAAACCTATAGTACCACACCAGACCTCTCAAAAATGACTCATTATTACAACAAAACTTACAGCTGCTAGCACATCAATCATTAAGAAGAATGAGAATAATCCCTGAACTCATTCAAAACCCAGGGCTGCCCAGTATATAACTCTATCCAATAGTTTATCTATTCCCACTTTGTTATAATCCTCAAAATTCTTCTATTACGCTCCAACAAATGCTCAACTTTTAAATAATTGACGTATAATGCCCATATATAAGTTGGAGGCATTCACATTAAGCTAACTCCACAAGAATCTCCATAGGAACCTTAATAAATCTACAAAATCCCACAAGAACCTGTAAGCTTCCAGTAGTAAATATTTTCTAATATAGTTAATACTCCATAATTGGGAGCAGCCTCTCCATAAATGGGGGTAAGGCTAGCCGACATTCACCTCTCCCAGACCCTGCGTAAAGCGGGAGCCTTGTGCACTGGGTACGACCTTTTTTTTTTTTTTTTTTAGTTAATACTCCATAAACCAACTAACGTATGCGATATTAAGCCAGCAGTCATAAAAAATATATACAAATAGTTATGAAAATGACTTAATGATTGATGTGCTGTAAGTTTTGTTTTATAAATGAGTCCTTTTTGAGGGGTTTGGTGTAGTACTATAGGTTTGTTTTTAGTTGGCGGATATCATAACCAACTTTCATAAATCTTTTAGTTGTTAATAAAAGATTTTTTCTTGTGAAGAAAAGTTGAGCATAAGGGTTTGCATTGTAAGAACATTGGACTTTGCTAATCGTAAGTTTAGAAACACTTGGACTATTATTAATGAATGATGAATTTGATATTCCTGTTTTTGTTAATCAATAAGAGATTCTAAATGTTTAAGACTTAAAGGTTACAAGTGAAAAATGAATTTGAGATTCGCTTTAGTGTTTAGACTTGAATTTTTACAAGTTATGAATTTGAGATTCTTTTTAAGAGTCAAATGTCCCACCCATATTGTTTCTTCCATAAGTTCTAAATCTCTTACTGTAAGCTCCTAATACCCGTGTCTTGGTCGTCCCTTAGGGTACACCCGTGTCTTGGTCGTCCCTTAGGGTACACCCGTGTCTTGGTCTTCCCTTAGGGAACTTTCTACCAAGTTGAGCTCCGTTCCTTCTTTAGACATTCCCAAGGGCTGAAGAAGCCAAGAATCACTGCTACTGAAAGTTTCCTAAAATCCCAAAAAAAGTATGGAAGGATTAGAACTATTGAAGGAACTGGCAGTACAATGGAAGAAACAGGCAGAGCAATGGTCGTCTCACGCCCTTCAATACTTTCATCAGGTTCCGCCCGAGCAGATTTATGCTGCTATAGCGATTTTGCTATTCACCTCATTCTTACTCTTGTTGGGTATGTAATCTTGTAATTTGTTTATTTTTTTATATAGCCGACCCCACTTAGTGGGAAAAGGCTTTGTTGTTGTTGTTTTATTTTCAAAAGAGTGTAATATTTATATTCTTTATCTCTGTGTTGTAGTAAGGTTGTTTAAACGCCCAAAAGCTAATACCATACTGCTGAGTGGGCTTAGTGGCAGTGGGAAGACTGTTCTTTTCTATCAAGTAAGCGCTGAGATTATTGGATTTTGTTTTTCTAAACATCATATGAATCACTGCTTTGTAGACTCAATAGTTGATCTAATTTTCTAAATCATTCATTAGAGTGACTAATGTCATACTTAGTCTTGAATATGTAATGCAAACGAAATTTATCTAGACCTTATGACTCTGGTTATTTTCTCTATGTCAATTAGAAACTTGATTGGGTTGGTCCTGTGCTGATGTTGTATCCCTATCTTTTTTCTGATATAATTTGGAAGTCTACGTCTGTTTGAGACAATTTGTTGTTTAATGCTTGGAAAATAATATATATATAGAAATTCTAAATGCCTTTTATTAAGTATGTCCATCTTTCCCTGTTTCAAGTTACTTTGGTGATCTATTTATGCCTTAGAAATGTTCATCTAACCTTTTATGCCATGATTTGATGCGCATGCCAGCTTCGGGATGGCTCTTCACATCAAGGTACTGTCACTTCCATGGAACCAAATGATGGATATTTTGTGCTCCATTCGGAAAAATCAAAGGTATATTTCAGCCTCTTGTGCTCATATGCAAATAACTATGTTCAAACAGTATTGCTTGTCTTGTTAAATGAGGGCAGAGTTTAACTTCTCTGTTTGCTTTTGATATGTAGAAGACATTAGCCGCATCATTTTCTTCCCTTTCTTTTGTACTGTTGTTTTTGTTGATTGTCAACTTGATCATGCTCACCCGTCCATTGGTTTTTAATGACAGGGTGGAAAGGCAAATCCTGTTCATCTTATCGATGTTCCTGGGCATTCTCGCCTTAGAGCCCAACTAGATGATTTTCTGCCTCAAGCAGCTGGGATAGTATTTGTGGTTGATGCTTTGGAGTTCTTACCTAATTGCCGTGCTGCTTCTGAGTGAGATTTCCTCTTTTCAGTATAAAAGCTACAATATGATATTGAAAATTGGCTACTCTGTTTCTATATGCTTACATCCATTCTAGAGTAATAAAAATGCTAGTAACAAATGGAGGACCCTGAATTTGGGATATGTGCATCTAGATGGATGATTTGCATGCAACCTAAGGTTTTCACCTGCAAAGGCTGACCCGTGGCACTTTATTTGCTAAAGGTACCTATATGATATTTTGACTAAGGCGACTGTGGTGAGGAAGAAACTTCCAGTTCTTATTCTCTGCAACAAGACAGACAAAGTAACAGCACATAGCAAGGAATTTATTCGGAAACAACTGGAGAAAGAAATGTAAGATTTAAACTCTTGTAAATTATAGGTTTCTTTACTCTGATTGATTATAATGTTTTACTCAAAATTTTCAATTTCGTATGGGACTAAATTAACTGGTAGTTATATGCACTCATAAATCATTTCCTGCATCTTCATTCTTTTTATGAGAAATATCCACTGTCTTCATGGTTTCCGAGGAAGATAATTTCTTCTGATCAACATCTATGATTTCCATAAGTACATTGGTTGGACTTTAAACTGTTTTGCTGTGATTTTCTAACTTTCATCCATGATGCATTCAAGACAATTTTCCATACAATTCTCTGTTGGTTTTGTTTTGTAAAGTGTTCATTCGCCGACAGAGCTCTATGATATGGTGATTTGCATTCATTATTCTGTTTCTACTTCATAAATCTATTTCATTGTTCATTGTTCTGATACATTTGACATATAACATCCTACAGTGAGAAGTTACGGGCATCAAGAAGTGCAATATCAGCAGCTGATATTGCAAACGACTTTACCCTTGGAGTACCTGGCGAAGTATTTTCGTTCTCTCATTGCCAGAACAAAGTTACAGTTGCAGAAGCGTCTGGTCTAACGGGTGAATATTCTCAGGTGGAGCAGTTTGTGAGGGAGCATGTGAAATCTTAGGATGTGTCATCTCCCCCATTTGATGAATTTGTGATACTTTTTCTTTGAGGTTGGTTGAACATTGTCTCTTGATGATTGAAAAAACTGACTAGATGTGCAAAATGGGTTCAACTTTTTTTCCAAGGAAAGTGAAGGGAGGATGGAAGGAATTCAACAACAGAAAGGAAGAGAGAGCAATGACCAAATAGATTCTTGAGACGTAATACCGACGACTGTTTATGGTTGATTTATTGTGCTTAAATTGATTGATTATGATGCACGGCTCAACTTGTGCTTAAATTGTTTCGTTGATTTTCATACTGTATTTGCACGTTGTCGAAATCAGCTCAGCTCGTCGGAAATACAGCATAGTTTTGCCTTTGCTGTTGTTTCCGACCACCATTTCACTGTTTCGGATTTCCAAAGAGCCATTGATATGTGTTATGCGTTCATTTTAAACCATACACGGGTGAGTATAATAAGGATTTTAGCTGGTGAGCCACTTTGAAGAATGAACAGAAAGAACCCCAAAAGTGTCGATAAACTCTTACAGTATTTTCTCCGGTCCTTTAACTTATCCCCAAGTTGCACGAATGAAGTTTGCCTTATGTTCTATCGAATCCCTCACTCGTATGGAAAGGACTACTCGTGCAACGCCAAATCCCTCATCCTCCCAGAATTCAAATACCTCGTACATCTAAGGAGTTCAATTCTTCCAATTCAGGAGTTGGATTTCTTATTTCGCGTGGGCACCATCACTTTCTTGATTTCTTCAAAGTTAATAAACGCTTTACTACTTTGTTATCAGAATTTAACTCTTTGTTTCAATTCTGATTACATAAACTCATCATAAAAGTTTAGGGATGAAAGCTAAACTCGGGTAAAGTTTAATCAGAATTTTTTTTTAGTACAACGATATATTTTACATTAAGGGGATGGGGAGTTCGGCTAACCATACAATAGGCAACCTAATTTCGTATCAAATTCGTCATCTACGAGATTCGAACCTAAGACCTCTCACTTGCTAATGAAGAGAAATATCACTAGATCGTAGTACTTTTCAATATGCATTGCTTAAAGTACATTTCAGTATGTATTCAAGTCTCACTTGTCCCAATCTCTTTGTTTGTTCTCTAAATTAATAGATATATTGCTTAAAGTACTTTTCAGTATGTATTCAAGTCATTGCCACCTGTTTTGCTATTTTGAGAGTCTCGTTTGCATCTGAATCTGGTTAACTTAATGGATATGTTTTCATTAAAAGCAATTTGGAACTAAACAAATGATTTAAGAGGCTCTGGACTCCCTCCATTTGAACATACAAGATCATGAACTAAAAGTCCTTGTTTACAAGGCAAGAAAAAGAACTTAATGTGGATTTAACCCATCCATAACAATCCTTTGATAACAAGAAATTTGAGTAACTTGGGGCACAAGTAATCGACTTAAAACACACTTGTTCTACATCTACTATACCAAGATAGTAGTGGCACGTTTAGCACTTTGTTAGTTTTGATTGTGAGCCTCAAGGCCTACTCCTAAGGCCCTACAAAGACACATTTCAGTACTAACTTTGTCATCTTCTTGTAGCACATCAACAAGCAAGAGTCCGACTATCATCATCATCAAAATGCCAATCCCTTGGGGAACTGTGCTGAGGTCCAAAAGCCTTCTCCAAAAAAATCTTTGCCCGAACACTGTGGAAGCTACTCATTCTTCCACTCTTTCTGTCCAAACCCATAGCCATCTCCTCTCACCATTTGAGGTTTTTGAACCACCATTCCAACCCACGAACATGTTGTTCACAAAGATCCGCCACTTTTGGTAGCACTTCTCTCACACTTCTCTAATTTGAATTCTCATCTCTGAGCCCTCTAAATAGCTCTCAACCAACGGACTATTCTTGAATTTACTGCTCGTCTTGGACAAAAACTGCCCTCCACAATCTTAACGTCTTCAGAATCTCAGCCTCATCATTTCCCAGTGTACATTCTTCTATCTCCATCTGGGTTTTTGAATTTTGGGTCATTTTATTTTATTTTTCCCAATTTGGGTATTGCAGGTTATCAAGATTGCAGCAATACCTTATTATTTTGGTGCAATGTCTACATCCGCTCCCATGACGTGGCTATTCAAACATGAACTAAACCTTTCTGATTTCAATCCAAGAATTCTATTTGTGATTTCATTGCTTCATAATTGGGAATGGGGTTTTGGTAATGAACCGCTAAACTGATCGATTAGTTATTAGGAAGCTAAACTGATCAATGAAATGACTATCTTACCTTTACACTAACGGATGAATAACAGAAGTTTCAATTTTGGGCATAGATCCTAACAGACTTCACCACAAGAGTTTAAATTCGAATTTTTTTAGCACATAGGCTATCTTCCGAATACCTTTTAACCACGAAGACCATTTATCCGATTTGGCGTATATAGAAATAGAATATACACTCTTTTAATTTTTTTAGAGAATTATCTCTGAAATTGTTTATGCAATTTGGCTGTATAAACCAAATAAATGAAAGGTTAATAATGACCATGCCACTTGTTAACTGTTATCAAAATCATCACTTTGTTCGACATATATAGAGGCCTAAATTATGTTCCCATGGTGAAACTACATTAATCTAAAGGCGAAGCTAGAAATTCAACTAAAAGATAGCATTTTAAAATTTAAGCCCATTTTTTCTAAGACCATCTCCAACTCTTGTGTGTAAATTTAAAATTTTTAACCCAATAACAATTTTCTGCTCCAACTTTTTTGATTAACTTTTTAGCCCTAAATTTTAAAGAATGAATTTAGGATAATTTTTTTCTTCTTAAAGTAACTATTTAAAAATAAAAAAATTATGTAGACTATCCTAATTTAATTTTATGAACATTTTAACCTAAAAATATTTAAATTCCAATAAATATGAAAAAATCACTAAACCGACACCATGAAACTCATGAAACACTATGAAAAAATATGAAACACATGAAAAAAAAAATAATTTTAATTACTTTAGCCGTTGGATTTAAATATGGACGGTTAAATTTTTTTCTTTTACCGTTAAATTTGATTATATTAAATCTTAGTCGTTGAATTCAATAAATTTATAAATATAAAACTTAAAAAAATAGACTTATATGATGGACCAGCCTACTAACCCAACCCAGGAGAATCTTGGCCCAAATTTGTCTCATAAATGAGTTTTTTCCCAAGGAACCTAAAATTTGAGTTTTAATAAAAAAAATTGCAGTAGGTCAAGCTAATTTTTATAAATGAAAATAATATTTAATTCAAATACCTAATTTTGTTAATCTATTTTCTAATTTTCTCTTTAATTGTTGTAATAAGAATTTGATACTCAATTGTAATAAACAAAATTTATGCAACTTAACAAGATTAAACATGAGAGCGAGTGACAAACAAGGAAGACAACTTAATCGATGTCGTTCCTTTGTGTTTGACTAGTGAGATTGGTCCGTCCGGTTTCAAATTCAGAAATTCCAATATCCAGCCCGGTTTGTTCAGTGGCATCTTAAAACAAATCTAGTCCGCTCCCTTTGAATTGGGGCCTGACCTGGACCGTGCCCAATGGCATGTTGACAACACGTACGGATGTATTAGCAATTTTGCTGCTCACCTTTGATTAAGAAAAGGACTTGCATTGTTTCAATTCCGTTTCAAACAGCAGCTGCTTTCAAAAATGCCATTGAACCGCATACAAGTATAAGCAACTAGAAGCTTTTTCTTTGGTCAAACTAGAGGCTTTTAAATTTTTAATTGGTCCTTTTTTGATTCTTCGGTTTGACTTTGACCGATGAATGCCATTTTATCAGTTGATACAATTTTTCCCTTCCCACCAATATTATATTTGTGACTTTTGATTTTGTTCAAACGCTCTAGTATGCAGAAACTCTCTATGTACATTTTTAAGAGTGAACAGTTAATATTTAATTAAATGTGCTTTAGTTAAATCTCAGACTTTCACTCGAGAAAAAAAATGTTCAAGAGAACAAGGCTCTACTAACTTGTATTTTTATACCAAAGGAGGCCGTTTTGATTAAGAATATACACTTTTACAATTTGAAATCATGTGTTGGAGTTTTTCTTCCTCCATTGCCATTTCTCTTCGGTAAAAGTTGAGTGGTGGTGGAGCACCTTAAAAATTAAATGGTTGTGAGTTTGTGACTTATGAGTTACGAGGTTGGTTACTACATAATCATCTAAACTTGTCGCAGCCCATAATGTTGAATGGCTCATTTTCTAATTTTCTAATAGAGCAATGCATAACCAACCTTTTAGGTAGTATTAGTAATACGTTTTCTCATAAGTTTATTATAAGTACCGATCCACTATATATTAAAAATCCCAAGGAAACTTTCATATTCAAGATTATAAGGTTTATAGTTGCTATTTTTTTTTTCATCAACAAACTGTTTCATTATAAAGTTATGCAATCAAATGGGTTTTATAAAAACAAAACATTTTGAAAGCAGTTATCTCGTGATATCATTTTTACAAGAGCTTTATAAAGCTACTTTCGTAACAAGCGAAGTTTGAAAGAAATCACTTCCTTTACCCATAAAAGAGTGAAAGAGAGAAAATAAGGAGGTCCTTAAATCATTTCTATTTGTTTCCATATACTAGAAAAAGATCAAAATAATATTAAAGAGACGAGTCAAGCTGCAGCTTGTCTAGTATAACGAGGAGACGAATCTAACAAAATACAATCCAAGACTAACTGATACCCACAATTAAGTAGGATTTTAGATATCCCTTCCACTAAAATCCTCTTGAAACTAACACATTTAGCATGAAAAGTGCCTTAATAAGAGCGACAACTTTAGCCATGAAAGTATTCATATGGCACAACGACACTTGTAATGATAAGACAACTAACATGATTTTTGATGATGACTCCTGCTGCGGCCAAAGTATCACGAACAGAGCCCATCAAAGTTAAACTTCAGAGTGTCTTTATAAGCATTTTTCAGTGAATGTAAAGGTTTGCACTCGGTCAAATAACCTTTGACTGAACCAACTGAACCAACTGAACCAAGGCCACTGGTAGAAGGTGAAAACTTTCAAAACTTGGCTGCAGTCTTGGATCACTTTCAATGGGTGAGGGATGATACTTTTATAGACAAGGTAATTTCTAGCCCCCAATCATGTCAACACAAAATAAAAATCTTACACAACATAATTTGACAATAGAAGGGGGGAGGAGGAGACCAAGAATAAAGCGTTAACAACGGGTAGAGGGGTAGGGACTAGGGAGTCAATCAATAAAATTACAATCTAAAAACAATAATATTTTTTTTATTTAAATTCTTAACCTATCTTAATTCTAATCCATTACTCTCACTGTTTAAGTTTAGGGTAAAATATTGTTTACTACCCTCATGTTTCGTGGTTTTCAACATTTAGTACACCAAT